TTAGCTGGGCATGGTGGCGCGTGCCTGTAATCCCAGCTACTCGGGAGGCTGAGGCAGGAGAAGTGCCTGAACCCAGGAGGCGGAGATTGCGCCATTGCACTCCAGCCTGGGTAACAAGAGCGAAACTGTCTCAAAAAAAAAAAAAAAAAAATCAAAAATCATGAGAAGAATCGAACTTCTATAAATACAGCCTTTCTAAGTAACTACACATTACATCCCATAACTAATTTAAACAAGGAATACAATAAGCCTATTAGAAATACTATGGTCCAAATTAGTAGTATTTATAAACAAAATGCCTTAAAAACTCTGGGGTTCCACCACCTGTGGAAATGGGTCGCTCTGTGTGGGAGAAGATGAACTCCAAGAATGTCTTTGTTTTTACGTGTTTTAAATTTTAGAGTTCTGTAAATACTCCCTTTAGGGGGAAAAAACAGAATTATTCAGAGCTGCTTTCAAGTAAGCTCAGAACAGGAAGCTCAGATCAAAGTCTCATTTCCAGTCAAGTGCAAAGTTGCAAACCTTCATTTGGTTCTTTATACCGGTTTGTCATAAACTGCCTTGAAGTGAGTAGACAGCAGATGCACTGGCTGGAAGTGTCTTCCACTGTCAATTTCTGCCTTCCTGAATAATCAGAGGAAATGAGTGAAAAAACCTCTTTGTTGGCCGGGCACAGTGGCTCACACCTATAAGTCCAGCATTGGGAAGCTGAGGTGGGTGAATCACCAGGTCAGGAGTTCAAGACCAGCCTGGCCAAGATGATGAAACTTTGTCTCTACTAAAAATACAAAAATTAGCCAGTCATGGTGGCTGGCACCTGTAATCCCAGCTACTTGGAAGGCTGAGGCAGAGCTTGAACTCAAGAAGTGGAGGCTGCAGTGAGCCAAGACCGTACCACTGCATTCCAGCCTGGGTGACAGAGTGAGACGCCATCTCAAAAACAAAACAAACCTCCTTGTAAGACATCTTGCTACAAAATTACTCATCATAAATGTGTCTTTCCTGTTAATGCATTTTGTGATGGGGAAAAAGGGATACATTTGCAAAACCCAAACTAAGAAGGAGAGAGAAATGTGAGGCACCAACAAAGAACCCAGCTCTAAGCATGTACTAAGTCAGGGTTAATCAGCTGCACACCAGATCCCTAGTCCTTGGTTCAGTTGATCCCACTCTGCAATACTTCCTGGACTTAAATCACTCTTGTTAACTGTTGGCTCTACTTCACTTCTAAAAGTGTTTTCTTACAGGAAAATTAAGATACTCCTTTTACTGGAGATAATGCTGGATGTCACAAAGTTAGATTTAGAAACCACTATAGTTAATGTTAGGGCCTCTGAGTTGAAAGGCTATTTCCTTGAGGACATGACATCTAATCACTTGAGCTCAGGAATTTGAGAGCAGCCTGGGCAACATGACAAGACCCTGTCTCTGCAAAAAAAAAAAAAAAAAAAAAAAAAAATTAGGTAGCTGGCTATGGCGGTGTGCACCTGCTGTCCAGCTACTAAGGAGGCTGAGGTGGGAGGATTGCTTGAGCCCAGGAGGTCAAGGCTGCAGTGAGCCGTGAATGTGCCACTGTACTCCATCCTGGGTAACAGGGCCAGACCCTGTCTTAAGAAAAAGAAAAAAAAAAAAAAAAAAAAAACACAACAGAGAGAAACTGTAGTTGAGCCAGAAATACTGGTGCTCATATCTTCAGATATATGTTCTGGTTTCAGTGATTAGGAAACAAGGGTCTCATTCTAGACTGGCCTCTATGGCCAGAGGGAAGAATGTCCCATTTAATTCAAAGTACAGGAAGTTCTACCATAAAGTAAATTACATTTTTAAGGGGAAGTGAGTACACAAAACCTACCTATAAGTCTTCATAACTAGGTCTTCTAGAGAAAAGAAAAAATAGAGGCTGTGGAAATCAGGGAAAGAAGTTGTTTTGATAATGAGACAAAAGTAATAACAAAGATATAGAGTGGTGAAGATGCATTTGTTATACAAAGACTGGAGCACATCAGTCATGTGCCAAATGGAAGGTAAACCAGGTAAGTTTCCAATCTTCCTTTTGTAGAAAACAACGTATTGTTGGATATAACTGAAAATGCGGATTATTTGTTAGCAGCCTTGTATAGTTTTGTCTCTAATATCATTTAACCAAAAAGAAATTTCTTATTTTCCACATGCAGGTTTATACCTCCCTGGGCTGATTTTAAAGATAAACAATGTAGCCAAAATAGTAATCTTCCTCAGGACCCAATAGAGCTTAAGCCTATGAATAGCCTAGTTCTGGGTATTCATCACATCTTTTGGAATAACAGCACCCAGGGAGGGTATTTATAGTCCAGTGTGAGGGGTAGGCAGGATGAGATGAGTCACACTTTATTCTTCGCTGCTCAAGGCTGTTCTGAGCCTTTCCCTCTGACTCAGCACCAGTGGTCTCGAAGCTGACAAGACCCAAATGCAGCAGCATATGCTCAGGAAGCAGTCATGCTGCTTAACAAAGGTAGCTTAACCATCATGTTCATTCCTAAGTTGCAGACAAAATGGAAGAAAGAAGGTGACGGACAGTTGGAGCTCCAGGGTGCTTCAGGGGAAACAGCAGACCAGGGAAATAAGGGAAATGTTTGAGAAAGCAAGTCTTTTTCTCTGAGTTTTTCTCTACTGCTCCCCTGGACTGACCTCTCCTAAGGCCTTTGTCATAACTGCCCATTTCAATAAAAATATCTTATGTTTAAAAAAAACATGTAAGGGAAAGAATACTGTATTGAATATTAGGAGAGCAGCTAGGTTCTAATCTCTTTCATGTCGCAAACCTACTGTGTTATCAGACATTTCAACTTCTGTGGACCACGGGAGAGAAAAAAAAGAGAGGGATAAAGAAGGGATTCATATAGTGAGAAGATCAATGCTCCCTCCAAGCCAGCTTTCCAGGATTCCCTTCAATGTGCCTTGGGAGTCTCATCTCCTTCCTTGCCACAGTCCTGGCTGGCCTCTATGGTGTCGAGGTAGAAGTAGGAAGTAGGTCCTCAGGTCCCTTTACCTGAATTGAGTCACGGCTCACCACCACTACCACCAGCAAACACCCTGTCTCTTTCTGCTGCCTCAGCACCTAGGGATTTCCTTTTCCTTCTCCTTCTCCTCACCAGTTAATCACAGTCCACCTACAGCCTCAGTAAGGGTCTCTATGCCTGATGCCTCCATTCATACCTCTGGAGCTCCTCTCCCGCCCTCTTCTCTTCTGCTGTTGGGACACTGGCTTTTCCTGCTCCTGTCCATCCTCACAACTGTCATTTGCCCATCCCTAAATCCATCATCCTTGTCCAAAAGATTCCCACTGCCCAGGGAAGAAGTCAGGAAGAACAGAAAGAACTGGAAGAATATATATAGACCATGTTTGCAGGCCTAAGGAAAGAAGAAAAAAAAAAAAAAAAGAACTAGAAGAAAAGAGAAAACGAAGAACTCTTTCCACTAAGGTTTTTGTTGTCAGGAATGCATGTTTTGGGGACAAAATAGGAGCTTAAAAAATGTGTACGAGTGAATAAAATAGCATTCCCTAACCTAAACCCTTAAAGCTGTTTCCCAGAGTGACATTATTACATACTTTAGCTCTGTATTTCATGTACCCATGATGGGGTAAACAGCTTTTCTGTGGGCTGGCCTGGGAACCCCACTCTCATGATGTTTGTTTTTATGGGAAAATGCTGCCTGAGTGGCAAATGATGGATGTACCAATGATGTTTGTAAACCACCTTTCCTTCCTCAAGCATGGTTTATATAACAGGAAAATTTAAAACTCTGCTAGGCAAAAGAAGAAATCAAACAGCAGCCATCTCCAGCTACAAAATAATTCTACATACATATATTATCATATATAGATGTGCATATATGTACAAATACGAAAGAAGTAAGGTGGTAAAAGTAAATTACCTAGTTGATCTAATACACACATATACCTCACTCTCACCTTCATTTATAGCCGGGGTCAGCATCCCTAGACTATCCCCCAAAATACATGTTTAATGTGAGAAAAAGGTTTCAGTATGCTGGACATGGTGGTTTATGCCTGTAATTGTAGCACTTTGAAAAGTCAAGGATCACCTGAGCCCAGGAGTTTGAGACCAGCCTGGGCAACATAGGGAGACTCCACTTCTATAAAAAATAAAATTAGTCGAGCGTGGCGACATGTGCCTGTAGTCCCAACTACTCAGGAGACTGAAGCTGGAGGATAACTTGAGCCTAGGAGTTCAAGGCTGCAGTGAGCTATAATTATGCCACTGCACTCCAGCCTAGGCAATACAATGAGACTTTGTCTCAAACAAAACAAAACAATACAAAACGAAGAGAAAGGGTTTTCGGTAATGTTGAGAATACCAACTACACTACAAAGGAAGTGCAGAACTATAAGGTAACACCTGAGATCAAGAAAAACAAGTTTTTGGAAATGAACACAGACACCCAAAAGAGCTAAATGGAAAGAGTATAGTTCCCTAAAATACTCATTTTCTTCTTTAGAAAATAAATGCATGGATGCTCCTGGCTCGAGGCTGGGAAGTCGTGGAGTGGGTGACGTATAGCACATACTCTCCTTTACCTTTACAGCAGGTCTAGTGGTCCTCTGAGAAGGGGAAAAGACACAAGAGACAGGAATTGGTGAGATGCTGGGGCGGGCCTGAGTGTGGGTGAAGATTTGGAAAGAATTTTGTATGTGGAGCTGAGCTGCTTAGGTCTGAAAGGCTCTGTTATAGGTTCTGAAATAGGACAAAGAACTGAGCGATATAAATGCAAGGTCTGTGAGGCGTGCCATCCAAACTGCTGTCCATATTTATGGCCCATATATATGGGCCATATTTATGCCACCTCTGACTTCACAGCTACCAAATACCTGGCATGCACCTGGCACTTCAGTCTTTCATCATGAAACTGAACATGATGGAGGAGGCCTCAGAATAGAAGGACAGGAGGCAGGAGGGCAGGGGAATGGAACCTCCCTACTTTTGTCCAGCACAACTCACCTCATAGAAGAGTCCTTCTGGGAACTGCTGGAAGCACTGAGCGCACACGAAACACTGCTCATGGTACAGCTCTCCGTTACTGTTCACGATCTTCTCAGCGGGTGCAAAGCCGCCCTTGCAGCGCTCACAAGTGGCGCTGGCCAGGGCATTGGCCATGTTGCTGTAACACACAAAGAATAGCAGGTTGCAGACTGTCATCCTCTTCTTAGATCAAAGACCAAACAACACTAAGAACTGAGCAGCTAATTCTATCTGATTGCAAAATTCCTATTTTATCTAAAACGCTTAATTTCTTGCTTGTTCCTTACACGCTCTAAAACTAGGACTCTTCAGTCTCTTTACCCTAGCATCTGAGGCTCTCTAAGGGTGTCCCACTTTGATTCTGTTTCTAACATTTTTGTCATTCTTTTTGCTAAATAAACTATGAGTGCATGCCTACTACGTGTTAGGCATCTGAGACAGAGATGAAAGTTATGAGATGCTCTCAAGTAACCTGGGTTTACAGCTTAATAAGTAGCTTAGTTAAAATATCCACAAGTCAGCATCTCAAAACCAATTTCTTTCCCTTCTGAGAACAGAATCTAAAATGCATGTCAACTAAATGCCATGTCATAGAACTTAGATATAGGTTATTCCTTTGATTAGATTCTGTGGAGGTTGCAGTGAGCCATGATCTTGTCAAGCTTGGGCAATAAGAATGGAACTCCGCCTCAAAAAAAACAAACCTAAAAAACCTCCACCTCAAAAAAAAAAGGCAACATGGATTTGACCGGCATACAATAAAATGAGGATTTCACATGAAGAACTGTTTTGTTTCTTAGAAGTCCTAGAAATGGAGAAGGTCCTCCATGCAGAGCAGTTACTGGCCAAGCAGTCCTTCGATTTTTGGCAAGTTTATTTTCACAGGCCTACTCACGGCATGAGTTCTACCTGTGTGTCTAGTTCCCTGGTGCAATTTCTGACCTTTCAGATATTTAATCAGTGTACTTTGTGAAGTTATTACTAACGTTCTCCTGAATTTTCACAATCAACCAGTGAGGCAGACAGGTGGACAGTCTCCATTCTACAGGCAGGGTAACTAACTGCCTTGCCCCTATTGGTTTCCAGGTTTTGCTGTTTCCTTAGCAAAAGTGGTCCCATTACTTGCCTCACTCTCCTCCACACCTCTGGAAGACAACTTTCCTTTTGCCTTTCTCTCCCAAATGTTTCATAAAACAGTCATCCTGTTTTGTAGCCTTGCCATAAATAACTGCGTGTAGACACACTATGTTCATCACTTCAGACAAGTCAACTTTATTTAACAGGTTTAAATGTAATTAAAATGCCACCAAAAAAAAAAGGAAGGAAGGAAGAAAGGGAGGCAGCTTCACTGCTCAGTTAAACCTGGCCTAAGCCTCAAGTTAAAATGAATTTCTACTTTGTCATTTCAAAGTTACTGTGGGTTGGGGGAAAAAGTCTGTAAAATTCTCATTGTCACCCAGCTTTGCCATAAGCCAGATAATTGTGGCAGTTTTAAAAAACTCTGGAGAGGTTTGTGCTTATTCCTTCTCCTGACCAAAGTACACAGGTGTTCTTGGATGGAGGAACATGGTAAGCCCCATACCCGCCCAGTCTTCTCAGTACTGCTCTCAGGAAAAAGTATTTATACCCACTAGGAAACCAGAAGATGCTGCTCAAATATATGGCACTGTTCTTAATTCTAAACCCTCTCAAAAGATTAGACAAACCTCAACAATCTTAATGGGACTCTAAAAAAGCCCCCAAAGAATATTCTAGAATGACCTGGCTCATTATAACCTAATCAGTGGTTTTCAAAATATCCGGGTCACCATGACCCTTCAGGAGGCAGAAACGTCCTCTCTTCCCCAACTACATCTCTGTGGGAGGCCGTATTTTCTTTATAAGTTTCACCTAAAATAACATACTATAATAGGTTGAATGTAGAAACAAATATGAGAAACTTTTATTAAGACAGCTATTAATTAGATTTGCAAAAATGTACCACAATGCCATCCTTTCTCTAAGTCTCTTCCATTTTGGAAAAGTTATTTCTCATGAAAACATTAATATTAACATTTACTATTATTAACATGTAATAAGCTTCTTGTTTTTAAATGAATTAATAAGTATTTAAAATTGTTCCCAATTTAAATTTCCCGTTTCCCAGTATTCCCATACAGTAAATACTGTTAAGTGAAAGTTCTTTGGGGACCTTAATTGTTTTTAAGAGCGTTAAGAGGCCCTTAGATTAAAATGTTTGATTACTGTCCAGTTTAAACTCACATAATATAGATTGTTTCTACTTAAGTTCAAATACTGAAGTAGAATTAGGAAATAGGAGATACATCATTTAAAAAAAGCACAGTTATTTCCCATACACAGGAAAAATGTGCTAGTTTTAGAGATAATTACATGTATTTTTCAAGAAGTATTCCTTTTAATAACAAGCAGGGGGAAAAAGGAAACAGAACAGTCACCTTGCTGTCCCCTGAACCAGTCAGGTTTCCCTTTCCTCTTCTGACGTTGACACTCTGGCACAATGCTTTTTTTTAATGTTGATTTTATATTTAATATCACAGATTACAGAAATTACTTTTAAAAAGTCATTAGTAACAGTTACAGGTATCATCAGATTAGTTATAATTAATTAGCTAAGTTTTCAGAAAAAGATTTTCATTAAAAAGTGTTGATAACAAGAAATATGTAAGTGGGGTGTATATATAGATATTTATATGTAAAAGCCTTTAGGGCAGCTTCTTCATATTAGGACAGACATGGCTGATGAAGCTGATCTACTTCCACAAATCAACCTCACACAGCACAGTTGAAATCTTGCTTTCTGTTATTCAAGTCCTAAAATGCAGCAATGTATAAATCCAAAATCGTCTTGAGAATTCACCAAGCAGTTAAAATATTGGTTACCGTATTACTACAATTCCCCAATTACTGTTAAACAGAGCTCTCTGTGAGATGTGAAGATAAGTGATATCTGTACCACAGAGCATGAATTATGGAATCAGAGAACCGGGTCAGTTAAATTCTCATTAACCCTTACTTGACAAATTGGAGATATGTAGTAATTCTAAGCTCACAACTTTAAATGAGGTAAATAATCTTGAGCTGGTCTGATGACTACTCTGCATTTTCTTTAAAAAATGTGTTTGCTAAAACCCATTTATAGTATCAATTAGCCTAACTCTTTAGAGTTAACAGTATGTTCTATATGTATATTGATTTGCTACTTATATACAATATATATATATTTATTCATTCAATTAAGAAAACCAATTAGCTTACTTCAATTTGTTGATTGTTACACATAAAAAAATTTATATTTACCAACAGTCTGTAATTTATTTTTTCACTGTTCCAACTCATCTGCCCCTTATCTTTGGGACGTTTTAGAGTACACAATTTTTCTAATGTAATTCCTGACAACGAAAACACTAAGCCTCCCTCATGGAGGAAATGATGAAAATGCAGCCTACCAAGTGATCAGGAACCTACTGAAGATGGGGCCACTGTGCTCTCATGGTGAGGACAGTACCTCCCTCCCATCTGCATGTCGCTGCAAGTCTTACCAACAAGGCAGCCTCCTGTCTCCTTAAACATGCTGTGCTGTGAGCCACCCGGAAAAACTCCTGCCCAAAGTCCAGTCAATAAAATTGTATGGGCCAGGTCAGGATGGCTCCTGAATAGAGAGCCAAGAATGCCAGATCTGGAAGAGGGGCACTCCGGGAGAGGAGACACTCACAATTTTGCATAAAAGTCACAGAACTCCTTGTAGACTTTCACGTCACTGTGCCTGCGCTGCAGTTTGGAAACAGCTCTCTCGTCCTCGGTCTCATTGGCCTCGCGGACACTGTTAAGGGCTGCTTGGGGGATTTCTTCGTTCTCTGGGATAACGCACGGGCGCACTCCGCCCGAGAGGGCCATCATGGGTGCTTGAGAGCTCTGAGCACAGGGACGAGAGCAGCAGGACACAGAGCCAGGAGAAACAATATCCAGGCCTCCCTGCTTCCCAGCCAGGGTCACTCCCACCGTTCTCACACACGTCAGCCTGGCCCGCCAGGGTCACTGCTGCTGCTTCATGTTAAGAGTTCAGCAGCACAGTACACAGTCACAGGGCAGTCAGGATTTACTGAGGTTTTCTGGAAGTTCTAAAAAACATTCCACAAAGTAGTGATATAGTCTTTGTCAGAGCAGCAGTCCCAGTGGACTATGCTATAAACACTACATCATGAGACCAGGGCTGCCTCGTACGCCTCCATGAGAAGGAAATATCCACATGTGCCTTGCATATTTGCCACAAAAATTCATCACCAACGCTGTGCTCTTCACTCTGGAGGGCATAAGAGGCTTTTGGAGCCCCTGTAAAATACCCCCTGACAAGCTCTCCATGAGGCTGAGGCTGCTGGCATACTCTGAGGAGCATCTGAACTCTGCCTGGACCTGGGCTTCCACAACCCTGGCCATGACTGCCAGCTACGTCCGATGGGTCCCTTCCCCAGGAAGCCATGGGCCCCCTAAAACTAAGAGCTACGTTTGACTTCTATCACCTTTGCTACTGGTACATAGAGTCCAATCTCAGCTTCAATAAATGGGCACAAGTGGAAACAGACAAGGACTGGTGTTCAGTTATAACTCTTCTACCGGACCCTGGCTAACCTCCAAGCTTAGGTGAGCCAATGTTTCTCAGTCTCATGACTAAGGAAGACATTAAAAAGTCTCCTGTGATCGAGTTAGCTGGGGACTATGTTAGGCAAACCTGTCTCCAGTTTTATTCCTAAATAACATAGATACAAAGATAAAAAACCTATGTAGGTTTTTTACCCCCTCATCATTTGCCCACAAGAACATTCCTTGTGGACAGAGGACAGACAGAACTCAAAGTCTTCCCTCTGAGGCACACCTGAGACAAATGCATATCTGATTGCTTCCTCTACCCTATTGTTCACGTAAAAATGTAGGTTCACTGAGCCAGACGCAATTGTGTATTCATTGGAAGGCTGATCAAGGACTCAAAATAATGCGACTGTTTGTCTCTTATCTACTTCTGACCTGGAAGCCCCCACTTCGAGTAGTTCTACCTTACTGGACCAAACCAATGCATCTTGCACATACTGATTGATGTCTCATGTCTCCCTAAAATGTGTAAAAGCAAGCTGTGCCCCGACCACCCTGGGATGGATGCATGTCGTCAGGACCTCCTGAGGCTGTGTCATAGGTATGTCATTAACCTTGGCAAAATACATGTTCTAAATTGATTAAGACTTGCCTCAGATACTTTTTGGTTTACAGCAATGATGACAATCATGATATAGCACCAGAGACAATTAACGGGCTCAGAATTTTTCTCAAGTTCCTGTCCTCCCAGGGCATTGCCACCCACCAAAACCAAGAGACTGTGAAAGAAAATCTATAGAAAAGCCACAAGGCAAATGGATGGACAGTCACAAAACCAGCAGCAGATAAACAAAATACAGTGGAGATGCAAGTAACAACCACAAATAATGATATCCAAGGGTCAGTGAGTGCTTTCTATCACATCCCTTAATCCTTCCCACAGCTTCTGAGATAGGTGTTAGTTACAAATGAAGAAATTGAGGCACAAAGAGACTGAATAACTACTAAGGAGGTGGTGGAATCAAGACTTAACCCTAGGTACTTTGATTCCAGAGCCTATGCTGTTAATCCCTATGTAAGAAAATGGTAAACATAATTACTGGGAAGCACAACAGTTAACCAGAAAAGATTAGGCAGCGGGTACTAGATAGTAGTGGAAGCAGAAAGTGGGACCAAGTCTTCCTACTTTGGACCCTAAAGATCTCAGAGGATGGGTCAAGAACTGAAAGGCTGTAGGCTACAGATCCTGCCCAGGACCAAAGCCTACAGCTGATGAAACAAGGGAATCACCATATTTAAGCAAGAAAGAAACAACCTCATGGTTTAACATTTTTCTTTTCAATTTATCTACATTTCCTATTTTTTAGGTTTATTTTTTACAATGACCATGTGAAATAGAGAGGAGACAGGGAGGGATAGAAAGAGACAGAGAGACAGACAGTCAGATAAACTGGGACAGAGGCAGGCTGATTCAGACCAGAAGTGTGACGCATCCAGTGGGGGTGACATGGTAAGAGGCAGGAAACCACGTGAGCCTTCTGCTCAGATTTCTCCCTCACGGTCTCCCCAGTACTCACATCTGACGTGACTACAGTACAGGAGCAAAACCAGGAATCCGACATTGGTACAATGTGTGTGTGCGGGTCTCGGTCATTTCATCACATGGGCGGGTTCCTGTAACAACTGCCTCTATCAAGTTACAGGATTATTCCATCACCACAGAAATCTCTTTCATGTTATCTCTGACCATCACATACCTCTGCACGCTCCAACATTTCTAACCTCTGGCAACCACTCATTTGTTTTTCATTTATGTGATTATGTTATTTAAAGAATGTTACCTAAATGGAATCACATGTGACATCTTAAGGCTTTTTATTCAGCACAATGCCCTGAGCCTAATCCAAGTTGCTCCACATGTCCACTGTTTTCTCTTGTTTACTGCCAAGTAGTATTTCATGACATGGATGCATAGTTTGTTTCACTGTTCACCCACTGAAGGACATTTAAGTACTTTCTAATTTGTGGCACTGTGAATAAAACTGTAGAAATTTCTGTACTAAATATATTTTTATTTTTCTGAGATAAATGCCCAAGAGTAAAATGCTGAGTAGTATGGTAAGCAAAGCTTAGTTTTTAAAGAAACTGCCTGTGATGTTGTGACTTTTAATAATAAGTATATTCTTGGTCTCTGCCCCCATTTCCTGGCTTAGGACCTAAAAATCTTGGACTCTCTTTAGTGGTAAGTGTCTTTTGTAGGCTAATGTGACAGGTGGCTCGGGCTGGTTGCTGGAGAACCAACCATGCAATGAGAAGGCTGAAACTTTCAGCTCCAGTTCCAACCCCTTGGAGGGAAGAGGAGCTGGGGATTTGGATAATCACCAGTGGTCAATAACTGAATCAATCATGCCTATGAAATGAAGCCTCCATAAAAACTCAAAAGGACAAAGTTTAGGGGAACTTCTGAGTTGCCAAACATATGGAGGTTCTGGGAGGGTGGTGCTCCCAGAGGAGGGAAGCTCTGCTCTGCTTCCCCACATCTTGCCCCATGTACCTCTTCCAACTGGCTTTTCTTAACTCAAGTTATGCTATGTAAGGATTATTAGGGGGAGGCAGATAAGAGATCTTCCTTTCATCTGGTTTCCTCTACTTGCATTACTTGCATCTGTGACTATGTTAATGAGAATGGTTGGCACACAGTAACCCTAAACAGAACTCTTCAATAGAGGTCACCTTAATATGACCTAGTTTTATGATCAAAGGTACCAAATACTATGAAGATATTTTTAAACCGTTAAATCAATTTATATAAATGTAAAACAGGTTTATGGCTCTGTTCCTTTGTTTATAATTTTGCAAGATCTCATTTTTTCCTCTTGGCCTTTCTTTCACTTAGGAATATCCTACTGGGAGTCGGGAGGGAGAAGAGAGGCTGAAAAGCTACATTGACTTTTTTTTTTTTTTTGAGAAAGAGTTTCGCTCTTCTTACCCAGGCTGGAGTGCAATGGCGCGATCTTGGCTCACTGCAACCTCCGCCTCCTGGGTTCAGGCAATTCTCCTGCCTCAGCCTCCTGGGTAGCTGGGACTACAGGCACGCGCCACCATGCCCAGCTAATTTTTTGTATTTTCAGTAAGACGGGGTTTCACTTTTTTGACTAGGAGGGTCTCGATCTCTTGACCTCATGATCCACCCGCCTCGGCCTCCCAAAGTGCTGGGATTACAGGTGTGAGCCACCACACCCGGCTGCTACATTGACTTCTATCACACTCTGTGGATCACCTTCCCATTAGCCTCTCCCTAGGAAATGAGGACCCAACCAGTTGATTCTCAGCATAAATAATACAAGGCAAAGAAATTCTCTGCACATTACCCATGCTACTTACACTGAAAACAATGGAGGAGCTAATGTGGGGGTTCAAGGCCAAGCAGGAGGCTCAGACATGTCCACCACTGCAATGGTGGGAGTAAACAAGCCCTGGGGTTTTAGGAGCTGGTGACAGCACTGATGGCTACCCTTTCACAGCCCATTTTGGCATTCTAGTAAAGTCTATTTCTTCTTGAAAAATGATTGCTCACATTATTCCACTGTTTGCTTTACATCATTCCTGGACATATGGAACTTTTACTATGTGCCCATGATGCAACAGGTCCAACGTGGTACCTAAGAAGTATCCAGCGCACCATCAGAAGATACTACAATCTGCTGAATGAATGAATAAATAAAGTCATAGCTTCTGCTTCTATAAGTATACAGTGTCTAGTTTGGTGCTCAGTTCTGAGTGAACAAGGTTGTTTGTATGTCCCCAGTACCCTGAATAAGGGTCTATAACAGTGTGGCCATGGAAAGTTTAGATGGCGGCTGGGCGCGGTGGCTAACATCTGTAATCCTTGCACTTTGGGAGGCCGAGGCTTAATTCCAAATAAACACCATAGCTCAACTTTCATATTCGGGCATTTTGCTACTGTTAAAACATTTCAAGGACTCAACAATGTCACTCTAAGAAATGCAAACAATCCTTTCCAAATAAACACCATAGCTCAACTTTCATATTCGGGCATTTTGCTACTGTTAAAACATTTCAAGGACTCAACAATGTCACTCTAAGAAATGCAAACAATCCTTTTAGACTGTGATTGTAACCCTGAGAAAAATATTTATGGGAATTCCTTTGATTGAAACTACTACTGCCACTGCGGTGGCATCAGAATAGCCACTGAAGTAGGGCCGGAGGCTGTTTAGAAATACCGGAAAAGATTCATCTGAATAGCAGGTCTGCTAGGTGGCTTTTGGTAAAGAATCAGGATTGTGCGAGGTCTTCAATTCCCTAAGGGTGTTTCTTAAGAAGTTCTATAGTCAACTCTCCTTATCTCATGGCTAAGTTGGATCTTTGGGAGATCCCACAGGACAGGTCTGTACCTCAAATGTTCCTTAAATCCACCCAGAGCAGAGCAATTTCTACTTTATGAAAATGGTTTATGGATTTGTCATTTTCTGATCATCTACTGTGTGTTTCACTTACGGAATGATAGACCTACTGTGGCAAATCTGGGACTCTGGCTGCATGGGCCCAACAGCTTACTTAAGGGCCACCCCATGCACTGAACA